TCCTTACCTGTGAGCTGGGTTCGCCTGGGAGTGAGGTCTGTACTGTGAGGGAGTAGCTGCCCTGAAGTGCCGCGTTGCTGGGAGGCGCCGCCGGTCTGGAGCCCGTGGCGGGAGGAGTGCGGTTCCCCTTGGTGACGGACGCTTCGCCTCCCGTCGGGCTGGTCACCGGCTGCTCCCTGTGGATGTGCGTCTGGGCGGCCATGTTGGCCAACTCCTCCTCCCTCAGCCACTCGTCCTCTTCGTTTCCCGTTTCCATGGCAATGGAGAAGTTGTGACCGGAGTCCAGAGGGTGAGGCGTCGGCCTGTGGGTCTCCTGGCTTCTTGGAGCGGACGCTTGCCCGGGCCTCGGGCGCTCCCTGTCGCCCTTCTCCGACAGGGTGAAGACTTGCTGAATGCGAGGCGTTTGTTCGGAAGAGGGCCCTGCGTTCTGGGCGGGGAGGGAGGCTCGAGGCTTTTGCGGCGCAGGCGGTTGAGGTTGGGGGTTGGAGTGAGGTCTAGGCTGAAGCTGAGATTGGGATTGTGAAGACGACGACCAAGGGCGAGTTTGCACGGTACCGTATTGTCTAGTCCAGCTGTGGGGTACCAGCCCTGCGCCGGCACTTATCCCCCCGTCCCCAACGGATAAAGTGCCCTTCCTGATTGCAGTGTAGACTAAAGAACCTGAGGCAGACGTCAGGGGCGGGAGCGTGGCAGAGGGGGTCAGTAACTTGGAGTGGATGGGTGAGGACGTGGAAGTGCTCCTGCTCTGCAGAGCCTGGTTGATCAGAGACGAAGACGTGCGGATGGAAATCTCGGAGTCCGACTGAGACTGGGGGGCCTGAGGTCTCAGTCGAGAGCGGGGGACGGGGTTCAGAGAGTAAATCCCAGTCAGTATTACGTCGTTGTTGTTGTTGTTGTTGCTTCCGCTACTGAGGGGTGAGGATGACGACGGAGAGGAAGACGCCGAAGAGAGAGCGGGGAAAGACGAGGATGGAGGGAGGAGGTGTACGCGGTTCTGGATGTTTCGGGCAGCGGCTATGTCAGCAGGAAGCAGCGCCCCTGTCGCTAGGCTGTGATTGGACAGCACGCTTCCAGCCAGGGCGGGACCGGAGAGCAGCCCTCCAGCTATTCCGTGGCTCGACAAGGGATGAGACGCGCTTCCGTTCTGCTCGACCTTGGAGGCCAGTTTTCGTCGTTTGTTGCCAACCCATGTCTGCAGGAAAGAAAACGTGGGGTCCGTTCAGGAACCTGATCCAACAAGGAATCGGTGCAAGACTTTACCGAAGGTATCAGCAAAACACACCTACTCCTACAAACCAGACTCATTTCCTTTAAAGCAAGCGGTTTTGCTTCCTTCCCGCTTTTTCATGAGCGATTTCTACCGGCTTACCCGGACAACACTGAAGTCCAACTTGGCCTCTTGAGCACACTGCAGAATCAGCTGGAAGCAGGCCTTGCTCTGGTTGGTCATCCCGTTCTCATAGTAGCGTTCCAGGATCCTCTGCTGCTCAGCCGTGAATACAGACCGAAGGTTCATCTGACAGACAAGCAGAAGGAGGGAAACTCCTCAGATCACCACAAACCGGCCGCTGACCAACTTCGTCAATAGCATCTTTTTCACAAAGGTCTATATGAGATGATGGGATAAAGGGACTATCCGGCCTTTATAGGAGGGTGGCAAGAATCTTCTGCTGTGACAAAGTTACTTTATTTCTAAGCACTGGGTAACACTTTGATATCGTTAATAGTGACCTACTAATTAATTATATTATTTCAAGCTCAACAGATATTTACCAAAATATTTGCAGTAGCAACTGTAGTGCAAATGGGTCTTTAGAAAGTATTGACTCAGTGGAGGTGTGTGTTGCACATCTTTGTGAAAAGTTAAAATGGAAACAATATATCTTTTTCCTTTTACTTAGTTTCTGTTGATTTTTTCCCAAATTTATTTTTGTCAGATTAGATAGAAAGCATCTACGATCCCCAGTTTTTATGTCTTGCGATAGATTTTCAATTGGACTCAGGTAAGGACTTGTATTAATTTTTCCCCCAGAGAGATGAAGTACTGCATCACAGCAACAAAACCGAAACGTCTTTTTTATGCATATTTAGCGCTGACATACTCACAGTCTGCAGGCCACGCCTCTGTGGCCACGCATCCATATCACTACTAGAGGGGAACGAGGCAGCCATGCAGATCACAGCACCACCTCCATTTTTCTAGATCTCCGCTGTCGACCTTGAAGTCATCTTGCTGCACTGTGCCTCCCACACCTCTGTGTAAAATGGCTGAGGAGGAAAGCAAAGTGGACATAATCTTTATTCCAAGCGAAACAAGAAAGAGCATGCACACTATGTAGAGGGCCATTGAAAGTCATGTGATAGTCTACTTTTAGCTTCTGTCATTTTATTTGTGTGTGGAAATTTTCAAAGATCAGCACTGAAATAGGAGAAATTGATGGGAATTTTCCCCTTTTTTTTTTACAAAGTTAATAATTACTATTTATCTATTAAACCATTTTCATTGGATTGTAACTTATTTTTACCACACACTTTACACTTGCATTACATTTAAAGAGTTATATTTGATTGTTTACTGTAATTACAATGTAACTTTTTAATTGAATTAGTTAACTACAAAAAACGCTGGATTACTTTGCATATTAATTTAAAGTTCCTAAATGCTCTGATCAATCTAACAAAGTATTAATTTATCAAGTAAAATGTATTTTATATGATTGTTCTGTACCACCGGTGTTTTTTTTAAATCATTATTATCATGGTGCTATTGTATCTCCGCTCTGAACAAATGAAATAATATTTATACATTTTCTCGATGCGAGATTATGGTTCCCTAGCTAGTAAACACATATTGCCATATTTATAACTTTTTCATGAAGCCTTAAGGTCGGTACGATAAAAAAAGAAACATAGCTTTAAGTAAACCGACTTATTAAGTATAAAGTTTGAAGTATAACCCATTCGGAAACGCAGGGAGCTGGAAGACAACAGTGGCCCAGTTTTAAGGAGGGTTTGATAAACACAAAGTCCCATACGGGAATGTTGTGCGACCAATAAGCACACAGCAGGTTTATTTTGGCAGGCGGACTGCGCATGGCTACAGTCAATATGGAATCTGCGGTGAGAATTAGCAAACAAATAGTGGGCACGTCAAACGAGTCCGCCGTCAACACGTCAGCCAGCGGCTTTAAAAACACATTAACCACGCAGGAAGCGCGTGACTAAACTCCACGACCAGGACCTAGAAAGTAAACAAACCGGGTAAGAGTCGCTCCGCCGCGGCGGCCATGCAGGCCCAAAGCCGCCATGTACGAGCCAGCCCACGCTAAGCTAGCGTTAGCATAGCTTCCCCCTATGGATAGCCGCAGCTAAAGTTTTCCTTCAAATCTATAATTTCCCGATCCCGGATAGCTTCCTCTTGCTGTCTCCAGCTCCGGACGGGATAAAAGCAAAGCAGCAATTTACCGCGGGCTTCTCTTAAAAGTGAAATCACTTTCTTTCATACCATTTCTGATGTCAAAATCAGACGGACGCTCCAAATCAGCAGATTTCTTCCCCGGTCCCCCTTTTTGCTAGACAATGAAATCAGAATGTCCCGATCATCAATTCTAATCATGATTGTGACGTGTGCGCAGACAGGAGCCAATGAGCGCTCGAAATCAAGGCTGTGACAGCCGAAGAGGGCTGAAAACTGAGCCCCCGTGGCCCCGCCCACCGTTGACTTTGTTCTGCGGGTTGCTGGAGGGGGAGGTCACGCAGTACGGAAGCAGGCAGTGGGAAATGGCCTGTTTCCTCCTCACAGTGGGATTTGTTGAAGTGATGTAGCACATTAGTGTTATTTTGGATAGGCCACGTATATTCACAGCTGGAGCAGCTGAATGGAGATGCTCTGCATATCCTGAATGCAAATGTGTGAAGATGAATGCAATTAAACCATAATTATATATATGTATTTATTATTATTATTATTATTATTATTATTATTATTATTATTATTATTATTATTATTATTATTANTGGTGTCTACATATAATACAAACACAAGTACCTTTTATTCCCCTTTAACCATCTAATTTCATAACAAAATTAACAAAAACAAACATTTTTAGTCACTTAAGTAGCTACTCCTCAGTAAATGTTTGAACTTTTAAAAGAAAAGATGAAAAATTGTGACACCTGTAAAGTTCAGGTGTCACCTAAATGCAAGAAAAATGACCAGATTGTTCTTATAAAAGCAAGGGTTGCTGCCCAGGACTGCAGGAAGGCTTACAGTATCCAAACAATTCTGAGTTCCACAGCAGAAAAAATAATAAATAAAAAAATAAGGACCAGCTGCTGGAAGAGGTCAGACTGAGGGAGCTCCTTTCCGCTCTCTACAGTAAGCATATAAAGACTGAGCAAGTTTGATTTATTAGAAAACGGTTGCAAAACGAAGGCCTCCTCTCTCTAAAAACAACATGGTCGACAGATTTGGGGCTTCCAAAGTTGCATCTGAACAAACCACAAGATATTTGGAGCAACGTCCTGTGGAAAGATGAGACTGAAATGGAGGGTATGTGGCAATAATCCACGACGTCAGACGTGGCTGCTTTTTATAAACTGAGCCACCGTCTAAAAACATGAGGTAAAACCGTTCTAGTGGTCAAGTTGGTAAAATAAAAAAAAAAGATATTTCAAGAAAGTTGAACAAATAGCTGTTCTATAATTTTTTTTCACTTTTTGCTGCATTATTGTCAGAAATTTTAATAGAGAGGCCAACAAAGAGCTGTGCAGATGGTTTTCGAAATGTTTTACAGAGGGGAAAACAAAACACACCATCCCCATGGAAACATGGTGGTCAGAAAATACTGGAAAATGAATGGGGCAAAACACAAGACAGGCCTGGAAGAAAATATGTCACAGTCTGCTTGATGTAATGACATCATTTTCATCAGAAGTTGCACCTTTTTAAAGCAGTTAAGATTTCTTTTTTTTTTTTTTCTTTTTTTGTTATGGCACAGACCGTAAACCTTCGTTTAGGAACGGTCTAGTAGTTGATCACAAATACTTACTGTTCTCTTTCTGGAGCTGTTGATTACCCAGGGGGCAGCAGACACACCGAGTGAAGGCTGTGTTTAAAAAACACAAGTTAATCACATTAAATCCCTTTGAGGAGTATCGATACCCGAAACAGAAACCTGTCCTTACCTGTGAGCTGGGTTCGCCTGGGAGTGAGGTCTGTACTGTGAGGGAGTAGCTGCCCTGAAGTGCCGCGTTGCTGGGAGGCGCCGCCGGTCTGGAGCCCGTGGCGGGAGGAGTGCGGTTCCCCTTGGTGACGGACGCTTCGCCTCCCGTCGGGCTGGTCACCGGCTGCTCCCTGTGGATGTGCGTCTGGGCGGCCATGTTGGCCAACTCCTCCTCCCTCAGCCACTCGTCCTCTTCGTTTCCCGTTTCCATGGCAATGGAGAAGTTGTGACCGGAGTCCAGAGGGTGAGGCGTCGGCCTGTGGGTCTCCTGGCTTCTTGGAGCGGACGCTTGCCCGGGCCTCGGGCGCTCCCTGTCGCCCTTCTCCGACAGGGTGAAGACTTGCTGAATGCGAGGCGTTTGTTCGGAAGAGGGCCCTGCGTTCTGGGCGGGGAGGGAGGCTCGAGGCTTTTGCGGCGCAGGCGGTTGAGGTTGGGGGTTGGAGTGAGGTCTAGGCTGAAGCTGAGATTGGGATTGTGAAGACGACGACCAAGGGCGAGTTTGCACGGTACCGTATTGTCTAGTCCAGCTGTGGGGTACCAGCCCTGCGCCGGCACTTATCCCCCCGTCCCCAACGGATAAAGTGCCCTTCCTGATTGCAGTGTAGACTAAAGAACCTGAGGCAGACGTCAGGGGCGGGAGCGTGGCAGAGGGGGTCAGTAACTTGGAGTGGATGGGTGAGGACGTGGAAGTGCTCCTGCTCTGCAGAGCCTGGTTGATCAGAGACGAAGACGTGCGGATGGAAATCTCGGAGTCCGACTGAGACTGGGGGGCCTGAGGTCTCAGTCGAGAGCGGGGGACGGGGTTCAGAGAGTAAATCCCAGTCAGTATTACGTCGTTGTTGTTGTTGTTGTTGCTTCCGCTACTGAGGGGTGAGGATGACGACGGAGAGGAAGACGCCGAAGAGAGAGCGGGGAAAGACGAGGATGGAGGGAGGAGGTGTACGCGGTTCTGGATGTTTCGGGCAGCGGCTATGTCAGCAGGAAGCAGCGCCCCTGTCGCTAGGCTGTGATTGGACAGCACGCTTCCAGCCAGGGCGGGACCGGAGAGCAGCCCTCCAGCTATTCCGTGGCTCGACAAGGGATGAGACGCGCTTCCGTTCTGCTCGACCTTGGAGGCCAGTTTTCGTCGTTTGTTGCCAACCCATGTCTGCAGGAAAGAAAACGTGGGGTCCGTTCAGGAACCTGATCCAACAAGGAATCGGTGCAAGACTTTACCGAAGGTATCAGCAAAACACACCTACTCCTACAAACCAGACTCATTTCCTTTAAAGCAAGCGGTTTTGCTTCCTTCCCGCTTTTTCATGAGCGATTTCTACCGGCTTACCCGGACAACACTGAAGTCCAACTTGGCCTCTTGAGCACACTGCAGAATCAGCTGGAAGCAGGCCTTGCTCTGGTTGGTCATCCCGTTCTCATAGTAGCGTTCCAGGATCCTCTGCTGCTCAGCCGTGAATACAGACCGAAGGTTCATCTGACAGACAAGCAGAAGGAGGGAAACTCCTCAGATCACCACAAACCGGCCGCTGACCAACTTCGTCAATAGCATCTTTTTCACAAAGGTCTATATGAGATGATGGGATAAAGGGACTATCCGGCCTTTATAGGAGGGTGGCAAGAATCTTCTGCTGTGACAAAGTTACTTTATTTCTAAGCACTGGGTAACACTTTGATATCGTTAATAGTGACCTACTAATTAATTATATTATTTCAAGCTCAACAGATATTTACCAAAATATTTGCAGTAGCAACTGTAGTGCAAATGGGTCTTTAGAAAGTATTGACTCAGTGGAGGTGTGTGTTGCACATCTTTGTGAAAAGTTAAAATGGAAACAATATATCTTTTTCCTTTTACTTAGTTTCTGTTGATTTTTTCCCAAATTTATTTTTGTCAGATTAGATAGAAAGCATCTACGATCCCCAGTTTTTATGTCTTGCGATAGATTTTCAATTGGACTCAGGTAAGGACTTGTATTAATTTTTCCCCCAGAGAGATGAAGTACTGCATCACAGCAACAAAACCGAAACGTCTTTTTTATGCATATTTAGCGCTGACATACTCACAGTCTGCAGGCCACGCCTCTGTGGCCACGCATCCATATCACTACTAGAGGGGAACGAGGCAGCCATGCAGATCACAGCACCACCTCCATTTTTCTAGATCTCCGCTGTCGACCTTGAAGTCATCTTGCTGCACTGTGCCTCCCACACCTCTGTGTAAAATGGCTGAGGAGGAAAGCAAAGTGGACATAATCTTTATTCCAAGCGAAACAAGAAAGAGCATGCACACTATGTAGAGGGCCATTGAAAGTCATGTGATAGTCTACTTTTAGCTTCTGTCATTTTATTTGTGTGTGGAAATTTTCAAAGATCAGCACTGAAATAGGAGAAATTGATGGGAATTTTCCCCTTTTTTTTTTACAAAGTTAATAATTACTATTTATCTATTAAACCATTTTCATTGGATTGTAACTTATTTTTACCACACACTTTACACTTGCATTACATTTAAAGAGTTATATTTGATTGTTTACTGTAATTACAATGTAACTTTTTAATTGAATTAGTTAACTACAAAAAACGCTGGATTACTTTGCATATTAATTTAAAGTTCCTAAATGCTCTGATCAATCTAACAAAGTATTAATTTATCAAGTAAAATGTATTTTATATGATTGTTCTGTACCACCGGTGTTTTTTTTAAATCATTATTATCATGGTGCTATTGTATCTCCGCTCTGAACAAATGAAATAATATTTATACATTTTCTCGATGCGAGATTATGGTTCCCTAGCTAGTAAACACATATTGCCATATTTATAACTTTTTCATGAAGCCTTAAGGTCGGTACGATAAAAAAAGAAACATAGCTTTAAGTAAACCGACTTATTAAGTATAAAGTTTGAAGTATAACCCATTCGGAAACGCAGGGAGCTGGAAGACAACAGTGGCCCAGTTTTAAGGAGGGTTTGATAAACACAAAGTCCCATACGGGAATGTTGTGCGACCAATAAGCACACAGCAGGTTTATTTTGGCAGGCGGACTGCGCATGGCTACAGTCAATATGGAATCTGCGGTGAGAATTAGCAAACAAATAGTGGGCACGTCAAACGAGTCCGCCGTCAACACGTCAGCCAGCGGCTTTAAAAACACATTAACCACGCAGGAAGCGCGTGACTAAACTCCACGACCAGGACCTAGAAAGTAAACAAACCGGGTAAGAGTCGCTCCGCCGCGGCGGCCATGCAGGCCCAAAGCCGCCATGTACGAGCCAGCCCACGCTAAGCTAGCGTTAGCATAGCTTCCCCCTATGGATAGCCGCAGCTAAAGTTTTCCTTCAAATCTATAATTTCCCGATCCCGGATAGCTTCCTCTTGCTGTCTCCAGCTCCGGACGGGATAAAAGCAAAGCAGCAATTTACCGCGGGCTTCTCTTAAAAGTGAAATCACTTTCTTTCATACCATTTCTGATGTCAAAATCAGACGGACGCTCCAAATCAGCAGATTTCTTCCCCGGTCCCCCTTTTTGCTAGACAATGAAATCAGAATGTCCCGATCATCAATTCTAATCATGATTGTGACGTGTGCGCAGACAGGAGCCAATGAGCGCTCGAAATCAAGGCTGTGACAGCCGAAGAGGGCTGAAAACTGAGCCCCCGTGGCCCCGCCCACCGTTGACTTTGTTCTGCGGGTTGCTGGAGGGGGAGGTCACGCAGTACGGAAGCAGGCAGTGGGAAATGGCCTGTTTCCTCCTCACAGTGGGATTTGTTGAAGTGATGTAGCACATTAGTGTTATTTTGGATAGGCCACGTATATTCACAGCTGGAGCAGCTGAATGGAGATGCTCTGCATATCCTGAATGCAAATGTGTGAAGATGAATGCAATTAAACCATAATTATATATATGTATTTATTATTATTATTATTATTTATTTTTAATTTTTTTAGCCTGGTACAGTCTGCCTTTACCACAAACGTCCTTTTTCTTATGTTTAATTTCCACTGTTGAGAGGCTCCGACTCCAAATATTCCATTTTAGCAACATAAATGACTTGTTACTTGTTCATAATAATGATAATAATAAAAAACTTGTCAACTGATTTTTTTTTTTTTTCAGTCATGGAGGTGATGGTATTTGCATTAAGAAGACAAATAACATGGTGTCAAAATTATTTTTGGAGTCTATTTTTTTCCGTATATTCTCAATTTTATATACAAGATACACAGAAGCAATATACGTTGTGAAAAAGTTTAATTTTTTTATCTCATCGCAACAAACATGAGCTGAAAAAAGATTGTCAAAGTATGATTTTACCCATGTTGTCATGGCACATATATACATATATATTTTTTACATACATAAAATATGTACATTTTGTGTTGTCTCAACAAAGAAAGAAACAAATAAGAACATACTTTAATATTAAACTAAGTTTTTGGTGAAGGTCCTCTGGTCAGATGATGCTGAAATTTATGTTACTCAGCTTTTTGATCTGCATGCTAAACCTTAGGTTTAGCATGCAGGTTTTACACCATCATTCTCTTCTTCTGTGACAACTTGGGGTGGGGGGGAGAGTAGAAGATGTCAAATGAAAAAATAATAAATTAAAGCTACGTCTGTCACTATTTATTAAAACAATTCAAAACAAGAACTTCTATTTTACATAAATTCATATAATTAATCCACATAATTAATCTCATCTTTAACAAAAATGACAAGGAACATATATATGTTTTAGAACAGGAAATAAAATCCCTGAGCAGTTAACATTTGTAAAATTAAACACAGCTAAAATGGATAACATTAATAATAACAGTTAAAATTATGCAAAAACATAGCAAAATTACTCATGAAACACTGAATATTATAAAATTTGTCTACAATATATGTTAAAATATAATACTTGTAAAGAAAACTGATTGTAAGCCACATATCACCACTCTCAGAGCTGGACCACATGATGTGTGTAATGAATCATTTTACAATGTTTCATTCATATGTTGCTTTAAGTCTATCCCTAAAGAACATATTAACAGACAAAATACCCATTAAAAGTAAGTACTTTTTTTACAATCAACATTCAATCAACAATCAACATTTTGACTCTTCAGAGGGGCTGCCATGAAACAATATTTCTGGTTGTTCCGTGAAAAACAAAGTGCCGTACTACCTTCTCTAACTTACTAACTTCTGTATTTGAGGGGGAAAAAACTAACTAAACAAACTCCATTATTAGACAAAAAAAAAAAAAAAGCAAAGTCAAAAATTAAACGTATACCAGAAGTCAAAGAAGTCAAAGTGACTGGCAAAAGAAGACACATTCACATTTGCTCCAATAATAATAATAATAATAATAGCTCGTGGTTACTTACATGTGCTTTTGTCTGTGTGTGTGTGTGTGTGTGTGTGTGTGTGTGTGTGTGTGTGTGTGTGTGTGTGTTCGTCGTGTGTCTCTCAGTGATAAAGCTCCTGCAGTGCTGGAGTCAGAAATGTGCTGCAATCCTGAGAGGACGGCTAGAAACAAATTGTTATATACTTGTTTAAGATTTATTTATTGAGTCACATGTTTTGTTTCTTCATTTTTTTTTTTTTTTGAACGCTGCTCTTATTGAATTTATTCCATGACGTCACCTGTCTTTCACAACCCGCAGCAAGGGGGCGCTGCGCCTCACAGCTCGGATGAGCTCGAGCTCCGGCGCCTGACGACTGAAGCCGATCATCACATCAGAGAGAGAGAGAGAGAGAGAAAGAGAGAGAGAGAGAGACAGAGAGAGAGAGAGAGAAACTTCCACACAGATAGCGGCGACCTGCTGACACCTCCTCACCTTGCGCTGTGGCATAAACTGCTACCGCAACGGGGCTGCCATGGCAACCAGCTGGAACACTGCTAGCATTTAGCATGTCTCCGTTAATTAAAACCAGCTGCGGTGGAGGCTATAGTGCTAATAGTTGGGAGTTATAGAGGCACGACTTAGTACAGGCTTGCATAAAGCCACTTTCTCCGTGTGTGTGTGTGTGTGTCTGTGTGTGTGTGTGTGTGTGTGTGCGTGTGTGTGCGTGTGTGTGTGTGTGTGTGTGTTTCTGTATATGAGAGAGAGAGAGGAGGGGTTAGAGGGGGGTAGAGAGATCCTCCCTGTATGGTGTGCGTTGCACCATTCCGTATTATGCGTGGTGCCCCTCGTGATGCTGCAGCGAGGCGGGCGGGATGAGTAGAGGGGCGGGGAGGGGTCGCTCCATCTCCTCGCGCAGCCCCTCAGAATTCACTTCTCACAGAGCGCGCGGGGCTGCTGGCGGGAAGGCACGAGAGAGAGAGAGAAAGAGAGAGAAAGAGAGAGAGAGAAAGAGAGAGCCATAGAGGCGGGTGGGAGTGTGTGTGTGAGAGAGAAGGGAGATAGCGTGTGCGTGCGTGTTTGTGCGCGCGTGCAGATTGCACCAACGCATCCCGTTCACCGTTTCTGCAGGCGGCCGAGCTCCGATGGAGATAATAAACCCGCGCTAGGGGCTTTTCTCTTTTTTTGTTTTTTTTTTAACCCCCTTCCTCCTCCTCCTCCTTCTCCTCGTCCTCCATCCTCTGATCCAGCCGTTCCAGATGTGACCGACAAGTCGTTGCATGACGCCCGCATTCAGTCCCGCGCCGCTCACCTCGGAGAGACTGTGACACCATGGCTTTGGTTATGGAGCCTATCAGTAAATGGACACCAAAACAAGTGCTGGACTGGATGAAAGGTAACAGGGGTGGCCACGCTCTGCGCCGCACCACGATGCTTGTGGTTATAGAATGATGATGACGCGGCTGCTGCTGGTGTAGGTTGGTGTAGGTTGGTGTAGGTTGGTGAGGAGGCCACATTCTGGGCATGAGTGTTCCCCTCGCGCTCAAAGCTGCTGCAGGACTGAAGTGACCGATGATTTAAAAAAGCCACAAAACGGCGGATGAAGAGGTGTGAGCAGTCGTAGCGGAGGCTCCTGTTTCACAGTGAACCTCACGAGCTGCTGCTGTTGCTGCGATCATCATCATCATCATCACCATCATCATCATCACCATACAGCGGCGGCGTTCATCAATGAATGAGGAGATGTGTCATCTTCACTCGCTGGCACATGCCCTCCAGCGCATATCTCCACGCGCCGTGAATGCTATGTGCAGGAGTGTGGCGCGCGCACACTCACTCACGCATTCACTCGCACACACACACACACACACACACACACACACACACACACACACACACAGTTAATGTAGTTCTCCTCACGCACCGTGCTCCATCTCCACTGGCACCGCGCAGCCAGTTTCAGCACCACGGACAGCGCAGTGCACACTGGCTTTCTTTGCAGCGCGCATCGCATACATCGGTGCGAACGAGTAATCGAATAGAAGCGCATACGAGTGTATGTGTGTGTGCGTGTGCGCGTGTGCGATCTTTTCAGACACGTTGGTCATTCCACAGAGCTGTGAAAGAAAGCTGTGTTAGGCCTGCTGCTGACAGACGACGTAAAGAAAGAAAGCTGGTGGTGGTGTTGGGTGGGCGCAACGCTTTTACTTTAGAGCATGACTTAATCACTGGTTGATTGATGACTCAGAGTTGAAACAATTCATTCAATTCATGCTTAAGCCACAGAGTGAGCTACTTTCTGCATGTTTCCACTGTGCGTCTTTCTCATGAAGGTGAAGCAGCCGATGGGGGGTTCTGGGGGATTTTTGTTCACATTGTTCCACTTACAAATCACATATACGTCATGTGTTTCTTTTGGGATATATTTATTCCTTCCTTCCTTCATTCATTTATTTATTATTTATTTATTTATTGTGATACAGCTAAGTTAAATTCAGTGCTAGAGACATATTTTTGGCAGCATCATGCTGGGGGGTCAAATACAAATTCACACAGTTTTTCATATTTTTATTTTTAAAACATTTGGAAAGCCATGCACCGAAACTGCTGCGACCTGAGCAAAAATGATCGTCATGCAACTTCTCTGAAGTTTTGATAATTATTGCGATACAATTTCAAATCAAAAGTCTTAAGTTTCTAAATCGACTTCTGTTTCAAACTTGAAACATATGTTGGTGTTCTAAACTCGTTTGCAGGACGGTCTAAAAAGGCAAATAGGTTTAAATACAACCAGGAAATTATCCAAATAAAGTTCACTCTCCTGTTTGCAATCTCTCCGCCATATTATAAAAATGCCTAAATACAATTCTGTTACTAAATTTTAAAGCCTAACTTGTCAGACATGATTGACATTTTCAGTTTCACGATAATTTATAGATATCGTTTTATCGTCACTGCCATAGCACCTATAATTTTCCTTCCTCTTCACTACTATGCAGTACAATCTGTTGCAGTAGTATTATGCTTCTGTGACGCACACAAGGAGTAAAATTGGGGCAAACTGGGTATGGAGAATAATTCATTAATTCATTACTTTATTAATTTATGCACTGTGTTCCGCGCGGAGTGTTTGTTCGGAAAGCTCGACTTCCTGCATGCTGCTCAGGCAAAGAAATTGAACGTGATAGAACGTGTTATATTCGGCGAGAGCCGTTTTCTCTCGAGTGTGTAAATTCATACTGTGAAAAACAGGACAGGGCGCGAGAGGACAAAACATAACTAACGGTTCTTATTTTCGGACATGACCCAAACCCGGTTCTAATCACACTTCGCTGCCTTTCAACAGTGTGAAGTTGAGCTTTGAGTCATTCAGACTTAGCTTCCTGGTATGTGAAATCTTGTATGCAGAAATGTTACTTTTTATTTAATAAAAAAAGAAGAGAGAGAAAGAGAGAGAGAGAGAGAGAGAGAGAGAGAGGCTTACTTTACAAATTACAGCAAATGTGTTTTATGCTAGTTTATAATTTGCAACTC